TTTGCGGAATTGGCCAAGACCATTGACTCTATCTTTTGGGGGTCTGCCTCCTCCCCTATGGATGATATTAGATGAACCAGGTATTCCAATTTTTGTTTGGCGAATGAACATTTCTTTCTATTAACACCAAGGAGTTTTCTTGAAGGATCCGGAAGGTTTGCCGCAAATGTTGCAAGTGGGTGGTGAAATCAGGGCTATAAATGAGTATGTCGTCAAAGAAAATAAGGATGAATTTCCTTAACAGCAGCCTAAAAATTGTGTTTATGAGGGCTTGGAAAGTGGACAGGGCATTAGTCAAGCAAACGGCATGACTAAGAACTCGTAGTGTCTTTCATGAGTTCTAAAGGCTGTCTTGGGTATGTCTTCCTCCTTAACTCTAATATGGTGGTAACCTGATTTCAAATCCAATTTAGAGAAGACCATAGCCCCGACTAATTCATCTAACAATTCTTTGATGGTTGGTGTGGGAAACTTGTCAGGGATAGTAAGGTTGTTTAACGCCCTATAATCAACACAGAACCTCCAACTTTCATCTTTCTTTTTTACCAACACAAGACTGGCAAACGGGCTAGTGCTAGGTTGTATGATGCCAACAGTCAACATTTCCTCAACCAGTTTTTCAATCTCGTTTTTTTGGTGGTAAGGGTATTTGTAGGGTCAAATGTTTGGGGGTTTGGCTCCAGCTTGGAGCACAATGGCATGGTCATGTTGTCTCCATGGATGTAGCTTAATGGATTGATAAAAAATGGTTTGGAACTCCTGCATTACTTCTACCACAGCTGGGTCAAATTTTTCCTCCCCTAGTGTTCCCTTATTCTCAATGGAATTAAGCTCTACTAAATACCCAGTATCCTTAGACTGTAATGTCTTAATCATGGACTTTAGAGACACTCCAATCTTAATCAATGAAGGATCCCCTCTGAGTACCATTCTCTTTCCTTCCCTGTCGAACTCCATAGTCAATTTTCCCCAATTCAAACACACATCACCTAGGGAGCTTAGCCATGTAATACCCAACACCACGTCAGCACTTCCCAACTTAAACAGAAAAAAATCATGTTGTATTTTTACCCCTTGAATCATCAATTTAACTCCCTAGCAAATACCCTCCCCTTTAATCCTAACTCCATTCCCCACCATTACCCCAAAAGCTTTAGACCCATCCACTGTGATTCCTAACTCCTTCACCAACTCTTGCAAGATAAAGTTGTAGGAAGCCCCACTGTCCACCAATAAAACCACATCCTCCCCTCTAATTTGCCCTCTAAGCTTCATGGTTTGGTCAGAAGTAATTCCTACTATTGAATTCATAGATAGAGCTAAGGGTTTACCTTCTTCAAGAGTCTCTACTTCGGCTTCAACTTCCGATTCTCCTCCGCCTGCCTTATCACCATCCAGGACCAACAGGACTTGTAATGACTTGCTTTTGCACCGACGATTTGGGCCAAATTTTTCATCACATTGAAAGCACAGACCTCTCTCCCCTTTATACTATAGATCAGCCTCTATTAGTCGTCGGAATCCATCCCCCCTGGCTGGCGTCGTCGTCCCTTATATCGGTTTTCCTCCTCTTTCCCAATTCCGACTTTGGTTGCCCAGATTTTGTCCCCCTTTGTTGCCCTTCGTTGTTGAATTCCACCAATCTGGGCAAGTGAGTTCCAAGTTGGATGAGACCTGGGTATAGGACTCGGATCAACCTATTTGGGCCTTGGATAACCTAGGCTTCATTATATCTAAAACCCAATTTCTCTCTTCAGTGCGGTGGGCTTGGTCTATTAAATCAAAAAGGGTTTTGGGCTTAGTCAATCTCACTTCCGCCCGCAGATCTTCCTTCAACCCATTAGCAAATATGCCCATGAGGAAGTCTTCTCCTACTCGCGTAAGGGTGCTGATAATTCTTCAAATTGCTCTCTATACTCAGTCATCGTTCTAGTATGTTTTAGTGCCACCAAGGCTTCGTAGGCGAACCCCCTTGTATGACAGCTGGAAGTGCTCAACTAACGCTGACTTGAAGGCACTCCAAGATAAGATCGGCAATTGTGTCTTGACCCACTGGTACCAATTCAAAGCACGCCCTTCCATGCACACAACGACGGCATCCACTTTCTCCTCTTCCTCAAAATAGTTCATCTGGAAATACCGCTCGGCCCAAAATGTCCACCCACTTGGATCTTTCCAGTTGAAAATCGGTAATTCCAACTTCTTCACCTTCCCGTCTTCCTTGCTATTTTCAATTACCTTCAACCCCTCTCGACTACTACTGCCTTCCTCGTTGTTTGACATGTTCCCTGTATGGGTTTTACCCCTCTCTCGATTTCTAGTTTCTTCTTTCTCATCCTTCAACCTCATCCACTCTTTGAGTTCCAAGAGATACTCTTTGACACTTCCTAAGTCCTCCCTCATCAACCCCATTTCCTTCTCCACACTTCCCATCTCTTTTTCCAGCCCATCCACTCTATTTTTCATTTTAGATTTAACCATAGCCCAAGCTGGCTCTGATACCAATTTGATAGGAATCAACCAAAAACAACCTAACAAAACAATCCAATAATCCTCACACAAACAAGAGTATCCAGAATTGACTGAATGTATTTTGATATATTGTTGAACCAAACATAATTGACAAGTATTTAAGATAGCTGATAATAAAGAAAACAATGATATAAAAGATGATAAAGGAAACAACAAAACCCAGGCTACTAGCAGTTTGAGGAGCTAGCGACCTCCCAAGAATTTTTTGAAATTTACTGATGATTTTTACATGGTTTTTCCCCTCCTATACACTAGAATGAAGTCACACTCTCAATGCCCCTTTTTTTTAGAGTCCACGTGGCAGATTCCCTTTTAACTAATTCCCCACTCAATTCCCCTTTCTACCCCTCCCATTCTTCTTGTTGTAAATCTGGGTAATTTGGGCTAGAGGAGGCTTATTAATATAGTTGTGCTCCAACACAAAGGCATTGGAACAAAATTAAGCATATATTCTGATATCTTCAAGGAACAATAGATATGGGTTTATTTTATTCAAATGAATCCACACCTCAATTAATTAGTTATGCATATGTAGGATATTTATCTGACCCACATAAAGCTAGATCTCAAATAGGCTAGTTGTTCACATATGGAGGTACGGCTATTTCATGGCGTTCTACAAAACAAACTATAGCCGCTACTTCTTCAAACCATGCTGAGATAATAGCTATCCATGAAGTAAGCTGAGAATGTATTTGGCTCAGATCAATAACCCAACATATTCAATAATCATGTGGCATTGATTACAAAAAAGAAGTTCCTATAACATTATATGAAGATAATACTGCACGCATAGCTCAGTTAAAGGGAGGTTCTATCAAAGGTGATAGGACGAAACATATATCTCCAAAATTCTTCTTCACTCATGATCTTCAAAAGAATGGCAATATTGAAGTTAAATAGATTCGCTCATGTGATAATCTGGCAAACTTATTCACTGAAACTTTATCGACTACAACATTTGAAAAGATGGTATACAATATTGAAATGCGCCAGTACAAAAATCTTAAGTGATAACATCATGAGGGGGAGTAAATATGCATTGTACTCTTTTTCCCTTGACCAAGGTTTTATCCCATTGGGTTTTCCTGATAAGGTTTTTAATGAGACAGTTTCTAAATCTGTATAATACACAAGAATAATGTACTCTTTTTCCTTCACTAGGTTTATTAGGTTTTTTCCTAGTAAGGTTTTAACAAGGCATATTCTTTGTGTAATAGACATCCAAAGGGGAGTGTTATGAGTAAATGTGGATGTCCCTTGAAATTCTATAACTTCCTAATCTTTCATCTTCTCTAACTCTTAAACCTTTCAAGTTCTACAACTTCAAAGCATTTTATTAGCTTTTAATTTCATTTATAATATTTCATAATCTTGAGACTATAAATAGATGTATTATGAAAGATGATGTACACTCAACTTTGGAATAAGAAAAGCATTGGTTCTATTTCCCCTCAATTATATTCTCTCTTCTTATAGCTTATTTTAATATATGTTATGATTTGATTTTCATTTTTTCTTTTCTGTTGAAAAATCTTTAATAAATAAAAAATTAATCAAAACATGAAAACAAAACTTCATCACCTCCCATCTTCGCCACCGGCTTCATCACAGTTTTTCAACTCAAAATCATCACCTTCATCATCTTTCAACTCATAATCTAGAACATCGAAAACAATATTTTTCCTCAATCAACCCACAATAGAAAAAAAAAATGAAAATAAAAAAAGTATGGTTGGTCCAATCTGCACCCACAACCAAAAAAAAAGAAAAAGAAAAAGGGAAAAATCACCTACTGCTTGGCCGCAATGCGAGGGTCTTGCGACAGGCATATTTGGTCACTACAAGGCCCCCACACGACGGCCAAATGTGATCAGCCATGTCCGTTGGCAAGAGAGAAGAAGAAAGAGGAAAATAAAGAGATGGAAGAAAAGAGAGGAAAATAATAAGAGAGAAGAAAAGAGAGAAGGAAGTGAAAAAAGAGAATATAGATGACAAGAAATAATAAACAAGCAATACTTTACTCATCTCACATGATATGTCAACTCATAATTAGTTAATTCGTATGGGTCATGTCTATCTAAAAATTAGCCTTATCTAACCAAACCAATTACGAGGTGTCATATGAGATTAGTAAGATATGTTAGTGAAGCTAGTATTATTGAAATAAAAATACAGAAAGGATTATGGTGAATTTACTATCTTATTGTCTTTCTTTTCTTAAAATTAACAAACGGATTTTAACGGTTTTTACAAATTTTTTAGTGGGGAAACTTAATTGCACCAAACTCTGGGTGGGAAACTGTCATTCTCCGTTATACACATGTCAAGATTTCCCTTATTTTTTCCGAACTGTTTTAATTATTTTGATATGAAACAATAATTGACATTCAAACTTACAGATACTGAGATACACAACAAATATTCTTCTTCAATAATAAAAAAGAATATACACATATATACCTAACAATAAAATCGGGCTAAAAAAAAAAAAAAATACCAAATAGTACAAATCCACGTGTCAATAATTAAAGCGCCATTAATAAAATCTGTGTGGAACCTACTCTATGAGGCAACACCAAATCTCTGACCAGCCAGATCACACTGTACTGGGGCCAGACCGATCCTTGAATTCTCAAGATCAAATTCCATCCATACGTTTTGTTGATGATGATGACCGATTACGTACGCCTCCACACCTAATAAATCTGAATTCCCAAACGTCAGACAATGCACCCCATCACTTCCCCTTACTTCACCCGGTACCCGATACAGGAGCCGCTCACTCGTTACCGTCATTTCGGCGCCCCGAAACACCATACTCACACTTGGTAATTCGGGTAGAGTGGATTGATTCAGTGGAACTCGGTAGCACAAATCCATTGCTCCTTGAAATGCGAAACTTTGATCCTCTAAAACCTTTAAAATGTTTGTGGTTTGGTTCAAGAACTCGGTTTTCAATGCACTGTAAGCGGGTCCGAGTAAAAAAGTGAACTGGGTACCCGAATCAACCATGGTTTGACCGGCCCCGGTATGGTCCGGTTCAAAAACGGATTTCGGTAATGGGAGCAACTTATCCGAAACTCGGATTCCTTCGAGCTGAACCGTGTAGGCAACTCTATCAAAATACGGTAACGGAGTTGATATTTGGATTAACGGTGTGTAATTTAACGGTGCAAGCCACGTAAGATTGGCATCACCGAGTAGCAAAAGACCCGAAAAATCAATACCAGATATGCAATACGAGAATTTCGGAAAACCCATTTGAGATATAAAAGATAAAGACCCACGGTTCATACCCATTAACCCAGTGGTTTTAGAGTCTTCCCCTGGGTTGGAGCTGAAAGTCGAGTCCATGCACCCGAAAACGAGACCCGGAAGCTCGGATGACCCGATAAAGAAATTTTCGGAGGCGAGATTTCCTTCAGAGGAAGAAGCATCCGCATATGAAAGAGTGGCGTGGCAGAGGTTGTTTACGTCACAAGAAGCCGGAATGTTGAAGTCTTGGGTACCGTTGGTGCAGGTGGGTGAAGAGCAAGGAACGGGGTTGTAAGAGGATGAACGGTTCGGATCAAAGGAATTCGGGTAATTATATCGGGTTTTGTTGCAGTTAAGCCAGGAGAGTTCACTTCCAGTGTCTAAAACCATGGAGACATTCTGTGGAGGTGTACCAACAGTCAAAGAGACAGTGAGGCTCACGTTGTGATGAAATGGGAGCTTGTTTGGTGATCTCGGAACAGAGCCAGATGGGATTAGTTGAGTTTTTAAGGATAATATAAGCATATCCTGTGAAGAAAAGCTGAGCTGGAACTGGATTTGGATCAACAGAATGTAGAGAAACACAAAGGAGGGATTTCTAAGATAAGGGTCAAACATATGGCAGAGAATGTATGTTTTCATTGTAATGCAACAGTCGGATAAACAAGAATGTAGAGTTTTATGGACAGAAATGAGAAGAATCAGGGGGAGGTTGAGATGGGTTAAAAATGGAGAGAGACAGAGTAGAAACCATGTCGTTTAGGTGATTTTGAGACCCTTTTGAACAGACATGTGCATTAAGTAGTTAACAAGTTGTAATGTGTCAGTATCAAAATTGGTTACACGTTTTCTGGTTGTTCATCTGAAATCTGAAGAAGTGTCTGCCACCAAAGTCCAACTTGAGTTAAAACTAAAACTAAATTTAGATCTACGAAGAGCTAAACCTGACTGTTGTAGGCAACTATCTTGACAACGACTGCGCGCGCTTTCATGACACTTCGGCTTAAATCTAACTCCTTAATTCAAAGTTACCAGAGAGAAAAATTAGTTGAGTTATGTAATTAATTAGATTAAGACATAATGTTACTTTATGTAATCTTTTTGTTTATTAGAGTTAAATTTACTCTGGGACACGTGGTAATCCCATTTTAGTAATGAAACTATTGGTATCGCTTTTGCTTTTCTTTTCTCCTTTCTCAGCTGTTCATTCTATTCTGTCTGCTGCTTTTTGGTTCCTCCATTTTCGAGGATCACTTTGGAGAAGCCCCTTTTGAAACTATTGCTCTTCTGTAATTGATTGGCTTTGTTTGGGAGGTAGATTCTGAGATTAAATAAAGAATTAAATGGTGTCGGTGAGTGTCTGTTTTGAGGAGAGAAATTAATGTGGCTGATCGGGTAAATACTCCGGTTGAAGGTTCAGTAGAATTAGCAGACCAATTCCCAATTATTTTAACTACCCGTTGATGATATGGTAGTAAAAAAAGTAAAATGAGGTTTTATAATCTCTTAAGTTTGAGTTACTTTAGACATTAATAAGAATAATTATTAAAGTTTTTATTCGATCGATAGTTTTTAAATTTGAGAAATTAATTGAAATACACGTAAATTGACTCGGACATCGTGATAATGAAAAAAATAAAAAACTCCGGTATCTTTATGTCATTATCAGCTTAACACATCATACATGTTAAATAAACATATAATGTTACAACCAAGGTTTTAAAACCCAGTGATCTGACCGGAGTGACCGCCCCAGTGGGGCGGTCACTCCGGTCAGATCACTGGGTTTTAAAACCTTGGTTACAACAACTGCTTGTACGGATCGTAACTTCAATTAATGAGATTTCTGCTGAAATGTCATTCCCCCCAAACCCATTCTTTACGCATATTCATGCTTTGATTATTTGGGGCCTAATCTATGGATGGTGTAGTAACTAACCATGCCGTATAATTACATGTTTGCTGTATCCCATACCTTCAACAATAATTATTGAAAAAAAAAAAAAAAAAGAATTTCATAAATATGCTTTAACTATAATTAAACTACATTGAAGATTTGGTTGGTTCATTATTCCTAAGAAATTGCTTAAAACATGGATATGAATAAGATCTAATCATAATAAAAAAATTCTGTCAAGTCAAACCCATTTATTTATTAGTAAAATTTGGAGTTAATTGCTTTTTCCCACCCAAATAATGCTTAATGACATTTTTCTACCCACAAATTTTAAAATACCATTTTATTATCCAAATTTATATTTCAACATTGAATAAGAGCAAACTCGGTTCAGAATATTAGAACTTTTGAAGAGGTGAGGCCAAGGGGCGGATCCAGCCACTTCATAGCCCACCCTCAATTTTTATTTTTTAAATATTAATATATATAATATATATATTTTGGCCCAAAATGGACAAAAGTATTAATGTATAATTAATTTTTACTTTGGGCCACCCTAACAGAAATTTCTGGATTCGCTATTGGTGAGGCCAATGAGTCTTTTGGTGGTGAAAAGTTAAATTTTGATGGTTATAGTTAATCAGAATTTGACTTGGGATGGGCTACTGTACAAACTCTAATCGCTCAATTGTCAACGATTGACAAAGTCGGTGGGAGTAGGGTTTGAGGGGTTTTAGTGAGTGATGATCGGGAAAGAGAATGGTAATGGTGTGGAGTCGCAACAATGCCAGAATCGGAAACGGAATATAAATTTAGATAGTAAAGTAGTATTTTAAAAGTCTATGGGTGGAAAAAGTTATTAAACCATTATTTGGGTTGGAAAAAGTGGTTTACTCTTAAATATGGGGTTACTCCACTTGAAAATCTCTGAAAAACCACAAATCATTGAAGGGTGAGTTGATGCGAATGTGACTAAGGTGGTGAAGGTACTTAACAAAAGTATGTTTATCATTTTATCAAGACCTTATGCAGATAATCCACAGATTTTAGGAGCTGTAGATCTGATATAATTAAATTAATGAAGAGTTAGATACATTAATTAAGAATACGCGTCTTGTGTTTAAGTAAAACAAGACATTAACTAATTCAAGATAGTTTAAGTAGTTAATCAGACATTCACGCGGGTTGTTCTAGAATGTGGTTGAATCCAAGTGCAGTTTATCTTGTACGCCAAAAAAAAAAGAAGAAAAAAACATGTTCAGTCAGGTGGTCGCACATGCAATGCTGAATTGTTTAAGGACACAGTTCGTGGTTGGGTCCATTAATAAAATGGGTTCCCTGATGATTCCCATTCCTATGCAAAAACTTTATAGAGGTTCTCGACGATGACACCAGATAAAGAAAGAAAGGCGAAGTTCTGTCAAATCGAAGAAATCGACAGGGAGACAGGGTATCAACCATACACATTAAGTTGAGCATTTGATATTTCAAAAACATTTTCATAATTTAACTGCAGACAATGTTTTTCTATTGCCAAAACTGGAGCTCTATCCATTTGTGTTATGGTGGCTTTGATAATATGATCTCAATTTCTTGTCTAGCTGTTTCAGTCAATCTCTTCGAAAGATAAATGGGAATTTTACTATAAATTTTCTGTTGAACACAATGGCACAAGATGATAAGCTGCAGCAGAGAGATGCTGGTTTCTTCACTCATTCGTTTGATTAGCAATTCTTGTGAGGGCTGAATATGTCCCAGCATATGCACATACTACTCCAATAGTAATGTAGAAAAGGCAAACTGCAATCTGATTAAAGAAGAATAAAAAAAAACATCTGATGAGCTAAAACTTTTTTCCCTTTATACTGGGAAGAATTTCGCATATATTGATGTCGAAGAAGTGAAAAATGCTTACCTTCAACTTAGATAGTCTACCTTTAAGTATGCTCAGGTAACATACACATGGAAAAATAAGAGTCTGCAATCAAACATTTAGATTATAGCTACATTTGTTTTGTTCTTTATAAGCATTAAATCAGAGGTTTATCCGAGTAAAGGAAACTTACAACTAGCATTGTAAGAAATGATCCTACTAATGACATCAAAGAAGCTGCAGTCCAAACAAATGAGCAGCTTAGTGGAAAGCATATGCATTTCTTTGATGTACATCATATTCAAAAATCAGACCAATGTTACAACTAATTTATGTGTAAATTTAAAATGTTCGTACCAAAGAATGGAACTGTGAGTGCCACAACCAAAGTTGAAATTACTAAAATTGTTCTGATGACTATTGATACACTGTAAGTTTGAAGCTGGGCTGAAGGAATCAATTCCTCCAAACTCAATGCAACTGGTGTAAGTGTCAAGGCATACTTTGTCATTGGGATCACAACCTAGAAAAAGAATAAATTTAACATTTGACAACGAATACAAACTGACCTCAAGTTCTGAGTACTAGTTTAATAGTCTAACAATCTTGATTTGCTGGATGCTGATGTGCGAAAAACTGACTACAACAATGAATATAGATTGTTCTCGTACCGTTGTCCAGAGAGAAACTTTGGAAGCCACCAATTGTTTGGGCATGTTTAAAGTGAATTGAGACTTGACTGAATCACCAAACATCAGGTAGCCACAGACTGCTATCCCAGTGTTCAAAACCCACCCAAAAAAGAAGCTGCAGCAACAGAGAGATGGATATTTTTGTTATAGCTGATTTTCTGAAGAACAAGTGATTTTATACACAAAGTTAAATAGTAATTGATTTTGAACAAAGGCAAAGTTAGATAGTGATACTAATCATCATTTACATTTATACAAGTTCTTGGTATTTTTGCGTACTGAACCAGGAAAACAATAAAAATATTGCTGTCACCTAATTATAAGAACCCAAGGAAATTGTGATGGTTCTTTCATTGAAGAATATATGTTTGGAAAAACTGAATGGCCGGCATAGCAAAAACCATATATTCCCACTGAAACAGGTAGATTTGCCAAGTCTAAGGCTGTTCCGCTACGATGAAACCCCACATTGTCTACCACCCCAATCCATACCAGGCAAAGCATCACCAGACCAGTTATAAGAACTCCTCCGACTGAACACAAGGGCTTTAAGAGTGAGCAGGTACACCTTTCGGGAGGAATGTCAAGAAAAATGAAACCTGAGACTAAAAGGGAGAAGTAAAGATAAAGAACCTGAGATATACGCGAGTAAGCTAAGGTTTCGAAGCCAAACAGTTGGAAGAATAATGAGGGTTGATGTTATGGCAAAGAGTTGGTTGGAATTAAGATGCATTCCTGCAATATACATGTTGGTGTTCGGAAACAATGACGACAAGTTATCACCCATCATGATTGTGTACTCCACACAAGCAGCCTACAGAACATAGCACTCTTCACCTTTTAGCTCATAATAAGAACAGGGCACCAAATTAAATAGAGAATTGTGACAGGCAGAAAATGAAAATTCGAAGGACTTACATATAATTCCATGTACAAGATTATCTGCATTTGACAAAAACTCAGCTCTCAGTGTTACTTCGGATGCAAACAAAAGTATGTACGTGAACAAATACATGCTTGTTGACATTGGAGAATCAATTTCTTAATTGAACTTACAGCTATCATTTGGCGACCAGGTTTTCCAAAAGCAGCCTGTCCAATATCAGGGTAAGTTCGAAGTCCGGGAGAGCTATCTAAACATTTCTGCAATAAAATCCCAGTATCACAAGCAATGACAGCAAACAATAAGATCAGTGAGAGGCTCAACCACCCTCCTTCTTTGACCGCAAAGGGAGCTGCTAGAAGTCCTACGCCACATAGAACATTGATTCCTGCATAGAAGAAAAACCATGACTTCCAAGTTTTTAAGCATATAGCAAAACAATAACCTTACAAAGCAATTGACTCTATGAATACTAGATTTCGACAAATACATACGTGTATCCATTTAGATTATATCTAGATTGCACCTGCTTCATAG